AACAAACAACAAACAAACAAACAAACAAACAAACAAACAAACAACACCTAACACAAATACACACATATTAACTAATCACAAACAACACAGATACACAAACATCCACTGCACAATTACACACAATCATGTATCCAGATTGGTTCACACACATGTCCAGTATACAAAAACATGTGTAGATCGATCAGGACTCATCCATTTCCCCCACGAAACATAAGATCAACACTAAGTGTGATCACTCGATCATGGGGCAACAACCATACCACTACAAACACATTCACTACCTACCTACCACATACTCCCACAAACACAACTACCACAAATCAATCCCTCTACACTAAACAACATCACACGCAACAATCACAAAACAACATATCAACACCACACTCACACTTTAGACAACAACACTAATGTGCAATATCATCATGTGGAAATAATTCCAACACTATCATATCGCATGTCTATTTCGCACACAGTTAACACTGCACACGTGACGTATAACCGAATGCAGCTGACTCTGATGTGCACTCAACAAACATCAACCAAACAACATAACCTATCTATACACCAATCAATCAACCAGTCAAACAAACAAACAAACAACACCTAACACAAATACACACATATTAACTAATCACAAACAACACAGATACACAAACATCCACTGCACAATTACACACAATCATGTATCCAGATTGGTTCACACACATGTCCAGTATACAAAAACATGTGTAGATCGATCAGGACTCATCCATTTCCCCACGAAACATAAGATCAACACTAAGTGTGATCACTCGATCATGGGGCAACAACCATACCACTACAAACACATTCACTACCTACCTACCACATACTCCCACAAACACAACTACCACAAATCAATCCCTCTACACTAAACAACATCACACGCAACAATCACAAATAACAACATATCAACACCACACTCACACTTTAGACAACAACACTAATGTTGCAATATCATCATGTGGAAATAATTCCAACACTATCATATCGCATGTCTATTTCGCACACAGTTAACACTGCACACGTGGACGTATAACCGAATGCAGCTGACTCTGATGTGCACTCAACAAACATCAACCAAACAACATAACCAATCTATACACCAATCAATCAACCAGTCAAACAATCACAAACAAACAAACAAACAAACAACACCTAACACAAATACACACATATTAACTAATCACAAACAACACAGATACACAAACATCCACTGCACAATTACACACAATCATGTATCCAGATTGGTTCACACACATGTCCAGTATACAAAAACATGTGTAGATCGATCAGGACTCATCCATTTCCCCCACGAAACATAAGATCAACACTAAGTGTGATCACTCGATCATGGGGCAACAACCATACCACTACAAACACATTCACTACCTACCTACCACATACTCCCACAAACACAACTACCACAAATCAATCCCTCTACACTAAACAACATCACACGCAACAATCACAAATAACAACATATCAACACCACACTCACACTTTAGACAACAACACTAATGTTGCAATATCATCATGTGGAAATAATTCCAACACTATCATATCGCATGTCTATTTCGCACACAGTTAACACTGCACACGTGGACGTATAACCGAATGCAGCTGACTCTGATGTGCACTCAACAAACATCAGCCAAGCAACATAAATAATGTTAGTCAGGCTATCCGTCTATGCATCAATCAATCATAAAGAATGAACGTCAGTGCGTGAATATTCAAGTGCTGTCATCTCTCGTATTTATCTTACGTTGTTTTATTTTAAACGTGTTTTTTTTGATGTTTTCTTTTTATTTATCATGAAATCGTTATTTTTACTGATTTTGGTAGTTCACTGTTATTTATTTTTTGTCGTGTTGAAGCTGTTTTATATTAGTTCATTTGCTGTCGATTGTAACCTACTTTCTATGTTGTTTATAATGACTGAGGACTTCAGCTGTCACTCTGGCGTCGTCTGTTACCGCAGGAAAATGAAATTGTGTATTGAGAGTGTGATTTTTTTTTCGCATTATGGAGTGAAATAGGAATTTATATTTCTTTTTAGAAATAGTAAGGTCATTGAATAACGAAAAAAATTTAATGTTAACTTACTCTATCAAAGTATTGCCAATTTGCCAAGTTTTTCAAAAGTTCAAACCGACTTTCTAATGTTTGAGTTTTACACTGAATTACCTATTTTCGTCTCAAGTTTAAATAAAGAATCAGAACTTACTGATTTTACGAAGTCATAAGGATTGTATCTTGTAGATACAGACTGTAGGAAAACGCAACATAAGTTGAGCACGTCTGATGATGAATAACAGTTGTTCAAAGTTATAAGGATCTAGATAAAAGAAAATTATAAGCCTCAAATAAACATCTACTTGGTAGCCAATGACTATGTCATGTTACTTGGACCAAATTACAGAGCTCAATTTTAGTAAATAGGAAGTTCATAGAAATCTATGAGTTAACTGCCAGCATTACTGTCAGGGAATAAAAGTTGGTTTATTTTGACTACAGGGGTTAATACGTTTGTAAATATTATGGAAACTTTTGACACAAACGGCTATCAATAATTAGCTGAAACAATTATTTTATCCTACTTGAATCTGGGCAGATATAATCAACATAGCGAGAGAACGGGAAGAGAATAACCGGCGCTCAAACTGGGTTGGCAGATACGAGGAATGTGCGCAGAAGTGAGGAAAAATCTTAAAGTTAGAGAACACAGACCATAGGATCCTGACGAATTAGGTGATGTTGTAATCAATATTTGATTACTAGCTACCATGCACTTGCTTATCCTGACGATGGCCAACAGTTCTGTGGATTAGACCTGTAGGTCAAGGCTTGAGAAAGTGATCCAAAAAAATCATTTATTTCGATATAAGAACCCAGACAGTATCCCAGAGCATGCACTAATATGAACACGCTTTTGCTCCGCATGGCTGTTTATGTGAACGACATTTGCAATTGCCTAGTTCCACACAAATTCCTCATATTCACACTTTTTATTTTGAATGCTTTTACTTTCATTTTCCAACTCAAATTTTGTTATTAAGTACTCGAAAGTATGAATATTACCACCGAATACTGAATCGAGTTTTCCGAAACTACGTGCGCCATTTAGTTTGGCCTCCAACGATCGGACACTGATGCAGTTCAGACAACAGGTGGGTTTGACTGTATTTTAGTAGTCTTAGCTTCGATACATACTGTCTTTACGAGACCGTATTCAAGACAAACGATGTGTTACACACCCGTTTTCTATTTTTCAATTTGAAAGGCTTGTCTGCTGATCTCGTCATGATATTAGAGCTGTCGTGACATTAATCTATGATACAAGCGATCAGTGATGTCTGTGTAATAGCTCACAGTGAAATACCAACGCTAGCAAATTTGGATAGATACCACAGGATCCTGGGATAACCAGACACAAAACAAACTTTTTACGCAAACAGATTAGTCACAAATCTGCAGCACTACACTGGTCTTAAATACGGTATCGAACAAATATGAGGCATAGTACAAATAATTCAAGAACAGATAAATTATCGGATTAACTTGAAGAAGCTATTATTAAGTTGTTTTAAGATAACAAACCAAACTCTTATGCATCAACAATTTGCTTATTTGTGCCTGTTACTACATTTGAAAGGTAGCAGAGAAAAAATAACTGCGTAAAAAGGAAACTGACCTTGCTAATATTTTCTTCAAATAAAGACATAAATTCAGATTTTGCAAGTGACTGGATGAAACTAGTCAGAAGTGTGAGATATTCGCGAAAATACTGAAGATTAGGAGAAGTTGATAAGCGCTGGCATTGACGGGTCAAATGTTGAATAACGTAGTTTATTTGTTCAGAAGATGGAGACCGCTTTACCAATTGTGACAGTGAATAACTAACAGCAACAATGCTTTTCGGAACTGAACAGCAGTCGTTCGGTGGACTTGTCATATTCATGGAGGCATTACTAACATCTGGCGAGTTATTATTGTTTTTGTAGCTATCACAATCCAACTGTACAGATTGTTTACGATCGTAGCTTGAGCTAAACAGAGAATCTAATAAACAAGGAAGAATCTAACAATTCCAAGATGTAAAGTGCATTACCTCCAAAGAAGTCGTATGCACTTTTTCACCGACACCTGACAACATTTCTACTAACACAGCTCCAAGGCACTAAATATGATTTTTAAAAACTTCGAAATTAAACCAAACCTCAGGATTTTCAATCATTTCTTCCAAAGTATGAAACAACGCAATTTTATCCCCAAACTTTCTGAACAAAAAGGCTAAACACTCAGCTGTAAACCTTGGGATGTCAGAAGAGCAGTGAGATAGTAAGGGCATAAGGAACCTAATGTGACTGGTAGAATAAGAAATGACAAGTACTTTAAAATTTTCCGAATGTTCTTAACCATGGGTCGATGTAAGAAATAAACCAAATGTGACAAGCAATCGAAACAGTGAGCCAGAAACTCTGCATTCTTCGAATTCCTTATTATGGCACCAACAACCAGGGGTAAAAAATCATCAATGTGGTTGAAAAAATCCTCCCTAATATCACATGCCAAATTAGCGACTAGACTACAAGAATATCATATAATATCACGAACTAACTCTAAAGCCGGTGGCAAACAAGTATCACCTAACTGTTCCCAAAATGTTTTCAGCTCTTGACATATTAAATCCTAGGAAACATAAGATCAGTAACAAAAGGATTACTTGATGAAAAATAATTAACTTCAGGCTTAAGACGTATGGAGCGATCTTCCTCCGGAATGCAACTGAAAGCTACAGAAAATCACTTGAATACTTACTGAATTGTTCACTTGAACTACTATCTGTCCACTTCTCAACGGCTGAAGCAAAATAACTATCTAAAGAATCCTGAGAAAATGTATAACTTGTTGCATCAACTTACCTCGCCATCAAAGTGATTGGTTTTAAATGATACAACAACCTTCCTTTTAATTTCATCTCTATATCTCATAAACTAAATCTTTAAGAAATCACATTCTTGACATACACGAAATGTATTGTCACCTTTCATAGCATGCCAGTTAGTAACGCAAGGCTTGACTGATGCGCCCACCAAAAATTGAAAAGATCAGCATGGTCACCAGATGGATTATGATCGACAAAGCAGAAGGACCAGACAATAATCCAGTAGATGTACTGAAAGCAAATGTAGCAATAACTGCAAATACACTCAACATTATCTTCAATAAGATTTGGGATGAAGAACAAGTACCAACAGACTGGAAAGTAGGACACATCATCAAGATATCAAAGAAATGTTATCTCATCAAGTGTGAGAACTACAGAGGCGCCACCCTTCTCTCAATACCAGGCAACGTCTTCAACAGGGTATTGTTAAACAGAATGAAGGACTCCATAGACGCCTAAATTCGAGACCAACAGGCTGGATTTCGTAAGAATCGATCGTGTACCGACCAGATTGCAACACTACGAAACATCGTAGAACAATCACTTGGATTGAATTCGCAACTCTATATAAAGTTCTTTGACTGCAAGAATGTGTTTGGTTGCACTAACAGGTCAAAACTATGGTGTACCTGAGAAGTTAGTCAACATAATACGGAATTCTTATGATGGATTAAACTGCAAAATCGTGCATGGAGGACAGCTCACAGACTCGTTCGAAACAAAGACCGGAGTCAAACAAGGTTGCTTACTCTCAACCTCACCCTTTCTCTTTCTCCCGGGGATCGACTGGATTATGGAGACGTCAACAACTGGGGAGAAGCATGGATACAGTGGACATCGAGGTTGCGGCTGGACGACCTGGACTTCACACGCAACAACAAATACGGGAGAAGATGAACAGTGTAGCAGCAGGCTCAGCAGCAGTAGGTCTCAACATACACAAAGAGAAAAGCAAGATTATCCGATACAACACAACATGCACCAATCGAATCACACTTGACAGAGGAGCTTTGGTGGATGTAAAGACCTTTACATACCTGGACAGCATCACGGATGAACATGGTGGATCTGATGCAGATGTGAAGGCACGGACCGGCAAAACAAGAGCAGCATATCTACAACTGAAGAACGTCTGGAGCTCAAAACAAAACTCAACCAACGCCACAATCATAATTTTCAATACAAATGTCAAGCAGTTCTACTGTATGGGGGAAAACTTCGAGAAACCCTCTGCTTCTTCGTTATGACAATGGCTATAGGCTTCGTTTAACCGGTCGAGCATCATGTGTGAGCCTTTCTGTTTCAGCATTCAGCATGATTCAGTTTTTTGAAACTTCTCTAATAACTCACTGCCTCTTTTTAGACAGGGACTAGCCGCTTGTAAGCAGTACACGAGTTTATGACAAACAAATACTGAATGCTAAGTCAAAAAAGTGTTATCATCGACATGGCTGAAGGCCCTCCATATTGGACATATGATTCTTAAAGCTTTGACATTTGTAGCACAGCGGTGTGAAGTAGTTTTGAAGTCTTGTATAACGATGAATCGTGGATCATTGCGTGACTGGACAACTTACTTACTTACTTACGCCTGTTACTCCTCGTGAAGGAGCATAGGCCACTCACCAGCATTCTCCATCCAACCCTGTCCTGGGCAATCCTTTCTAGCTCCGTCCAGTTGTAATTCATCCTTTTCATATCTGCTTCTATAACCGACGCAATGTGTTCTTTGGCCTGACTGGACAACAGGTAGCTCAATATTATTCATAGTTTATGTATCTGTATCTTTTTTACCGACATGCATCATAGCTTACTTGGAAGCACTCGACAGCAACTGCAAAATTTTAGACCATTCAGACAATTTCTCCGGATCATTTTGAAGCTACATATCTTGACGTCGTCAGCACATAACAAAACCGATGGTAATAGAAAAATAAGAAGTTCATTTACATAGAGAAGAAACAACACTAGTCCCAAACCCATAGCCTGAAGCATTCCGCTTTGCAAAGTTGGTTAAGTAGTTAGCTTGCGGTTAATCTGTACTCTTTGTTGATGCCCGACTAGGAAATAATCTACCCAGATAAATATGTTGCTTCTAATCCTAGTATCGATTAATTTAGATCACAGCCGACTGCGTGGAACTTTGGCAAGAGCTTTACCGAAGTCAACAAAGGTCACTTTTATAAGTAACTTTTGATTTTTAGGAGCTCACCATCTTTGAAGGGCCATTATAAGTTAGTGAAACATGCTACCCTTTCTAAAGACATTCTCTTTTTCAGAAATAATCCAGTTTTCTTCGAGATACTCAAATGACTCTCAGATAATCTTTCCTAAAATTTTAACAACTGTGCTGGTTAGGCTTAGAGATCGATAGCTTTCAGGTTTGTGTCTCGTAATATAACATTCTTCAGTCTTTTGGTAATCTACAATAATATATATGTTTCTGGATTCGCGAAAAATTTTGCTTATTCCTTTAGAAACCTGGGATGCATTCTACCGGGTTCCATGAATTTTCTTAAACCAAGCCCATTTATCACACCGAACACATCTGGTTCTTTGATGATCACGGTGTTTAGTGCGTATGTGTGTGTGGGGCGTTTGTAAGACTGAAGGATGAGGGTATCTCTACGGTATATGTGTAGAATTATGGTCTACTATGATATTAGTACTGCCCTAGTATTAGAAGTAATCCTAAAATTGTAGATTTGTCATGATATAACTGCCTAATCTATAAAATCTGACGTAGAAGTCATACCATCGTCTACACCAACTCATCGTATCGTAACAACCACCTATACATGATGTAGAACGAAATTAGGCTAGAGATAGAACAATGTGTTTAATAAGAATAAAAGATATAGGTAACATTCAACAGGGACCACGCCTGCAAGCCCTGAGCCATTCCATCCGATCAATTCTAATAATTTCACTTATTTCCTCCCGCCTTCTCCACAGTTGAGTTTTTCTCCGCGTCAAATGTTGAATATCCATTTTCCCAGCTGTATCGTATTCAGCTTTGAGGATTGTGTGGCTAGAGCCCAATGCCGCCACACATGCATTGCTAATGTAATTTGAGAATATCTAAGAATTACCATAATCGTCCTCCACAAACGACGCAGTACTACTGTCTCTCCATAATGCTGGACTACTTCTTTTTTCTTGGTTCGGTGGTTTACATACGAGTATAAGCGTTTATAGTATTCCATTAGATCTTTAACAAATTTTTGTTCTTATAATCCTCGAATCCTGCTGAGGGTCGAAGCACAAATATTTCGGGCTTCCGTTATTGGGATTTTGTCTTGTCAGTACCCAGTAACCTAAATGTCCCCCACATTCTTCTCATATTACAGAGGAGAGTACGGACTTCTTTAAAGAACTACAACGGCGTTTCTCGGAATCTTTGATGTACTCCAAGTTATGTGCGGTGCACCAACTTTTATGAACGAATTACTGAAAACCCTTCAAAACTTTTCAATAGTACACTCTGATTCTATGGTTTAATTGATTAATTAATTTATTTACATACATAAACGTTGGCATAGGGAGGCATCAAATATATATGCGACACACAGATAATTCGATTTACGTGACGGATGGAATACTGCCGAAGTGCTAAAACCAAGTAACGTGGTTTTCTTAAGAGACCGCTTCCCGAGCCTTTGAACGGACAGTCTAATTCACAAGGCAGTGAGGCGATGTCTGGAGATGCTATCTGATGGTAGCCAGTGACCAACTATAGATTCATACGCCATTGGTTCCTTGAGGATCCTGGAGCCCATGTGCACCACTGGTTTGTAATCAGTGTTTTCCAGCGTCCGGATGTGGACACTCCATATCCACCAACCCGGTTAAAGTGCCGGACATTCGCTTTTCGTCCTCTCAATCTGTTAAACAACAGCCCACCGAGAGAGGCAGTAAGACTTCCCTGTCAGTCGCTGTATACGTGTGGTAATGTGAGAGCATTTCGAGGGAGAAATAAAGCTAAATTCACCCTCGTCCATACCGGGGCATTTGAGGGCCATTCAAGACGTATGGTGTGACTTCGGCTGACACATCGTTGCTGATGACTGCATGGAAATCACCCATGCATACACTCAGTATAGCAGCCTTTTCTTGTTTTCCTTTTGAAGTAATTCCTTCTCTATTCCTTTTTGTATTCACACATATTACATTAATCGATTTTGTCACGTGTGCATTTATTATACGATTATGTTGTCTACGAAATCTAAAGTTAGCTAAATTCCTGATGCCGTTGTTATCGAAAGAATTTCCACTCGTTGGTAACTTCAGGGTTCACGACTTTGGACTCCTTTAATCGTGAGAGCTTGTCAGATATCGCCTTAGCTTGGTAGGTTTGGGAACAGCAGACAAAAATGGATGTTGCCCTGATTTTAACCGGCATTCTCAGTGTAGCGTTGCAGACCTTTTCCGAATTAGGAAATGTATCCACATTTCAATGATTCAGTTTCTAGTTCATAACAACGATGCTCCGTTCAGTTCCTTGGAATTCAACTGATTTGCATCTACAGCCCTTGTCGATATAGTTTGTGGATGAGAATTGGAGTGCTTTGAGTTACTGATTGTCTGCGGCATTACCATATTTGTTTGTAGATTCGCTTAGGCCTGATGAATAAAAATCTCTATACCTTGGTTGCAGAAAAGTGGCAGTAACACTGAACAGGATTATCAAATTACAGACAAACCTGAAGGTTAGCCTTATCTAGTAATTTTGCCTATCTTGACTAAGTTTGTTTTTGCGTTGACCTCTAGTTTGTTCAACTCATGTAGAATTGAATTTTTCCAGTTTCAGCATTTAAGAAATATGTTTCCTTGTGGCTTTTGGTTGTCTATAACTTTTGAGGACTATTTACGGGACAGAGTGATTTGTAGAGTAACAAATTTAACTAAGCATTGAAACCAAACTTAAAACAGTCTACTAAGTCCACCTGCTGTAGATTACTCATAGAAGCTAACGAGATCAACGTTCTGGTATTTCGGTGCTTGTTATCCGTAACACAGTTTGCTAGGCCTCGCAAATAAAACCGATGCTTAATACGACGTGACTACTCCCACCATTAAAGTGAGTTTTGAAAAGTTGTTTAA